GGGACTCGATCCCGGGACTCCAGGATCATGACCTGAGCTGAAGGCAGTTGCTTAACCAACTGAGCCACCCAGGCGCCCCCGTGTCTCTTTCTTTCTTTGCTTTTTTTGGTTTTATATTTTTATTATCCTTAAGTTCTTTTTTTTTAAGTTTACTTATTTTTTTTAGTAATCTCTATAGCCAACGTGGGGCTCGAACTCATGACCCCAAGATCAAGAGTCACATGCCCCTCTGACTGAACCAGCCAGGCGTCCCTATCCTGAAGTTCCTAATTCTCATGCTCTTTCCCAAGGATGGATATATATATATATATATGTATATTTACACGTATATGTCCATATTTATTAAAAAATAAATATATATTTATTTAAAATATATTTGTAAATATAAATTTGGAAACTTTTTACTATTTTGGTCATGTTTAGGAGGGTTAACATTATGGTGTCTTTCCCTTGAATTTGGTAACAAGGTCAGAAAAAGTCACTCTCTGAAATGGAATCCATCAAAATCAATAAAGAACAGATGCTTTTAGCCACTTGCCAAATAATTCAAATTAAGAGGCAATTTATAAATGGAGATACAGAGACTAGAATGCTTCTTGAGGCAATCCCTAGGAGAATAGGTTTTGAGACTAGAGTTTCTCAGTCTAATCAAGGTGATCAATTAGGATCTATCTTCAGAACTGGAATGTATTTAATGCAAATGAAGTTGTAAGTTAATCCAATCATCTAACATATCCAATCTGATATCCGAAGTACATTGTATGGAGTCTAGTTAAAGATAGGCCAAGAAACAAGAATTTTTAGGGTTTATCCAGCTGGTTCAAAGGAGATTCTTCTCTGATTTGAAAGCCCCAATCCTGATTTTCTAGACATCCTGATCTGGAGAAGGGAAACAAATCCAGCTACCCTAGCTAATGACAGTATTTCTCAAAAACATCTAATTGCCTTTGTTCTAATTCTTTGCTTACTAAGCTAGCTTGTGATCCAAATCTGTAAGAAGGCCACTTTAAAGGAATGCCCACCACAAAGGTTCTAAGCTAAGAACTGCATCTGTAATCTGGCCAGAGAGAAATAGCCTGTTGTTAACTGGCAAATGGGCATGCTTGTACACATGCCTTCAGTCACCTATGAGTTTTGGGAAGTTGTGTTTTGGTTGCCCTAGGCCTGGTTACCCCAGGCAGTGGAGATAAAATTCTGTTACCCAGCCCCACAAAGCTGAGGACTGGTCAAGAAATTCTGGGTTAGCCTTGTCCAGGTGTTGACAACAGGGAGGGTTTGTTCGAAGCAGCCTATTTCTCTTTTTGTTTCCTCTCTCTCTCTCTTTTTTTTAAGATTTTATGTATTAGAGAGAAAATATAAGCAGGGGGAGGGGCAGAGGGAGAAGCAGGCTCCCCGCTGAGCAGGGAGCCCGATGCGGGGCTCGATCCCAAGACCCTGAGATCATGACCTGAGCCGAAGTCAGGCGCTTAACCAACTGAGGCGCCCTTCTGTCTTCTCTTTTAGCTGCAATCAAATTCAGTGGCCAAAATATATAAATAAATCAAGAGGAGTCCACAGTGCTACATCTGACATGATTTCAATAAACTTGGCATCACGTCACCAATATGCTACACACTTTCCAGTACACGTTTAATCAACCCATTGTCTAAGCATTCCTCCCTAAAGGAGCAGAGGACTGAATGCACGATATAAACTCTCTCATCTGAGATGTCTGTGGCTCTTTTGTCCTATAATCAGGGCAACTTAATGAAAAAAGTAGCAGAGGGAGCTAAGAAAATAGCTCAGAAGGACAAACAAAGGGCTTACCCTTCATCTCTGGAAGATTCAACAAGCTCGACTCTCTTTTCTGGAGATCAAATCCTCAATGCCACAGCTTTCCAGCTCCATAGCAGAAGACCAGATTCAGACCTGTTCTTTCTAGCTAAAATAATTTTATTCCATTTTGCCTATTTTGATAACAGTTTCCTTCCCCTCCCTGCCTCCAAATGCATTTCTGTGCTCTGATCTGCCTCTTGATCAGCCGAGGATGACTAGCTCTGGCTGTTCCTCATTATCACAAGGAAGAACAGTCTCACCACGGAAGAATATCAAGATATGTGACACATGTACCACTCAGGAGGGTGATCAACCTCTTCAGTTCAAGTGACAAGAAAAGAAAGGTCCATTAGTCAAATTCTACCAGTCGTGTTAAAAATATACTTCCATCAAGTAGACTTCTTTCTCTAAATGCTATAGGACAGTGAAAAATGTGTAGATAAATGAGATTTGTAATCTTTTGTCTTCGAAGGACACATGCTTCAGGCCGGGTGCAGGATGGCTAAATAGATGCTTTAGGAAGGTCAGCCTGAAGACGCAAACGGCCAGAGACATAAAGCCATCCCTCCTTGATGTCCTCTGAGCCAGGTCTATGGCAGAACCACAATCTTTTTCTCCAGCTTCTGTGGTGGGAAGAGGAAATTTCTCATTATCTCATCCAGCTCTTCAAGGGCCAGCTGGGCATGGAGCTTGGCCACGTCATCAGGCTCCAAGCGCACCACGTGTTTCAGCAGGTGGTAGAGATCCTTGAGGACATCCCTCAGCACCTGTATGAGAGAGACAGCGTCATGAAGATCTGTCTACTGTGCCAAAATTTCTCAGAACGACCTATCTACCGTCTCCTTCCTGAGAAGTTCTGTGAGGAAACTCACAGGCTCCCTGAAGAAGATTATGCATGGCCTTCTCAGATGGAAGGAGGGTAGCTGTACTGAGATAGGCTTCCTTTTGGGTTTCTCGTGACCCCTGACACCTCACTATACTGGCCTTGGGGGCTGCTACTCCCTTTTATCCCCAGACCAAAGTAGAGATCCCAGGCCCCTTCATTCAGTCCCAAAGCATGGCACAGAACTCAGGACCACAGACAGGTCATGGTGCCCAGATAGGGTGACCCACGGTGCCCAGATAAGAGCATAATTACCAGCACCTTCCTCTCTAGGTCCCACAAAGCCCTCTGTGGACACCCATCTGCAGACATCTATCTTATGAGATCCAGAAGGCTATCTCTTCAGCAAGGATGCCTTTCCTTGCCACTGCTTTAAAAATTTTCCACCCCAGTTCCATCTCCATGCCCTTCTTCAAGTCACTATAATTTTATTTTTCAACTGCAAGGTTGCAACAGGAAACAAGGGAGGGCTCTGTAGATAGAGCCACACCCATCTTTCACTTCCAATCCTCTCATCTTAGGCTCTGGTATGGAACTGGGAGGGTGCCAAAGCACCTACTCCCCAGAGCTCCTCATTTCCTCCAAAATCCTCCTGGCTTTGGAGTTACAACTTTTAGCAGGAAACAGGTTTCAAAAGAACAGGTAAACTCAAGTAAGAGGCCTTAGGGATCAGCTGGCCAAACTAGAGACTGAAGACTCTAGGTCACAGGGGGTCACATGACTTGTCTGTGGCTCCTTGTGAAATTACTTCTGGTCTAGGGCTCTTTGCCTCAAAAGCTACTATTTTTGCCTCAGGTACTGTATGAAGTATTTTTCATATATTACCCAATTTTTATGAGAAAGATATTAGCCCCATTTTACAGATGAAAACATAGAAGATTAGAGGGTTACATAACATCCCAAGATTACTCAGCTAAAAATATGGGGGAGCCAGATTTTAAACACCTAGAGCCTGTGTTCTTATTTGTTTATTTTTATTGAAAAGGTAATACAGTAGAAAAAAGTACACATTAAGAAATAAGTCTCAGGGAGGGGGGCCTGGGTGGCTCAGTCGGTGAAGTGTCCGACTCTTTTTTTTTTAAATTTTTTTATTAACATATAATGTATTATTTGGTGTTGAGTTTGATAAATTTGGGGTACAGGTCTGTGATTCATCAGTCTTAAACAAGTTTGGGTGTTGAGTTTGATAAATTTCAGGGGTACAGGTCTGTGATTCATCAGTCTTAAACAATTCACAGCACTCACCATAGCACATACCCTCCCCATTGTCCATCACACAGACACCCCATCCCCCGACCCCCCTCCACTCCAGCAACCCTCAGTTTGTTTCCTGAGATTAAGAGTCTCTTATGGTTTGTCTCCCTCTCTGGTTTCGTCTTGTTTCATTTTCATTTTCTCATCAGAGAAAGACAAGTATCATTCTCTGATTGACTTATTTCGCTTAGCATAATACCCTCTAGTTCCATCCACGTCACTGCAAATGGTAAGATTTCATTTTCTTATGGCTGCATAATATTCCATTGTATATACATACCACGTGTTCTTTATCCATTCACCTTTCGATGGACATCTAGGTTCTTTCCATAGTTTGGCTATTGTGAACATTGCTGCTATAAACATGGGGGTGCATGTGCCCCTTCAGATCACTACATTTGTATCTTTGGGGTAAATACCCAGTAGTGCAATTGCTGGGTCGTAGGGTAGCTCTATTTTCAACTTTTTGAGG